GATTATTTTGATATTCCAAGATATCACAACTTCCCATTTATTCTAAACCCTATATATAGCCATTCTAAACCCTTACTCTTTCACTCCTCCATTCTAAACCCTTACTCTTTCACTCCTCAATCTTCTTCATTCTCCATTATTTTCAAAAGGTTACGTATTATTTTCCAATTCTTCTTCATTCTCATATTTTGATTCTCTAAATAGTAACATCAATGGCGCGACCGATTGAAGCTGTGAAAGACATCAACGACTCAAACATTTAATTTTGCTGACATGTCAATCTATCATAATTTTACACTATTTTTTATTTATTTGATTTATTAATTTATTTTATTTATATTTGAATTTTATTTATATTTGAATTCCAATTCCAATGTTTCATTCACGGTTAATTTATTTATATTTGAATTCCAATGTTTTTTTGACAGAATTTGAATTCTAATGTTTGACTCGCGGTTAATGAGGAAGGAATTGGAATTGCCAAATTAGATCTATTATAATTAAATGGAATATTATTCATTACATAATGGAGGAATATCAATGGAATATAATTAAATGGAATATTATTCATTGCATGATTTAAAAATACCCTATTATTCATTGCATGATTTAAAAATACCCACTATTTATCCCCTATCATTGAAGATTAGGAAATTGAAACCATTGAATTTTATGCTTCCACAAGGAATATCAATGGCTTTCATTGGCCGGTACTGATTATATACTAATTGTATTTTCTGATAGCAAATGCAAATGTCTCATTGCAATGTTTGGAGGAACTGTTTTTGGAAGAGGAACGAGATTTTGATGAACATGAGGATAGTCAAAGGGATGAGACTCTTATTCACCAGAAGTTCTAAAGTAATACTCCCTCCGATCTCATTTATAAGAAAAAGTTAACTTTTTAGATACATTAAATAAGTAATGTATTTGGACAATATATTGTCCAAATACATTACTTATTCAATGTATATAAAAAGTTAATTTTTTCTTAAATGAGACCGGAGGGAGTATGTTTTTAAGGGTTCAAGAGTAGCGGGTGTTGCTGAAGTTCACTACCAATTTCAGAAGAACCATAAGCAAGACAATAATTATCTAAGATGTATAAGATGATAAAACCACCAAATTCTAAGTTCTTTTGAATGTAGCATTATAATTCTCATTTGTCGTGAAATTTGAATAAAATTTTTATTTTGTATTGATATTTTTTTATTTTTAATTGCTATAATTTTAGAAACAAATATTACAATTTTTAATAAAATATTTACGATTTATTTTTTTAAAGTACGACTAATTAATATTTTTTTATACAATATTAAAAACAAGTATTACAATTTTTTAATCAAATATTGGAGTACCATTTAATTCGATACTTTACCAATATATCTTTTGAATGGAGACATTATTATCATTTATTTTTATTATACTTATATGGAAATTATTTTGAATGGTGATATAAATATATTTAATTTTTATATATGATTTGATTCCATAAAATATTATGATCAATAAAATTTGAATAAATTTGAATTCTCTTTTAATATTATAGGTTTGATATTGTTTCATATTATAGGAATATTATATACATTAGAATATATAAAGATATGAAAAAAAATTAAATCAAAACTTTACAAATATATCTTTTGAATGGAGGTATTAATATTATTTATTTTTATTATATATAGAAAATATTTTGAATGATCACATTAATACATTTTATTTTTATGCATGATTTAATTTCAAAAATTTATGATCAATAAATTTTGAATGGAATTATAATTTAACCAATAAAATTTTCTACGACTTCTAAATATATTATTTGTGTATATTTTTTGAAAGGTTACATTTATATTCTTGAAAAAAATAACGTAGTTTAAAGGATGTATTGTTAACTATAAATATATTGTTAATAAAATTAACAAAAAAAATATATTATAAATATATAAAAGATAAAGTAAATAAGAACTCTAATGTTTATCTTAAATATTTAATTTATCATTCTATAAATGTAAGAATAAATATTATTTTGTAATTATTTAGATCCTTATTTGACCTAAAATAAATTATTTCAATTTCTATAAAAAGGTTAATAAAACAAAACAAAATCAATTGAGATTTGATAATTTTTTTAAGTTTATGAAATAACTAAAATATATCATAATCTTTTCAAATTAACTTTATAATTGCAATCATGATAAAAAAATATTAAATGGTAATCATGAAAATTTAATGATAAATGATAATCATAAAAATTTATGATAAAATAAAAAATTATTGATACAATCATTTTAATAAATTAAATGATTTATAATTAATTTTATAAAGGTGAATAAATTACAAATAATTTTATAAATGTAATAAATTAAACTATTTATAAAATTATTTATATCAATAACAGTAAATTACATATATTTTAATAATGGACACACGAATTCAACATGCTTATAAACCGGAAAAAAGTTACAATAATTTTATGAATAAGTTAATATCATTTTATATAAATTAATGGTATAATATAATGTATTAAATATTTATATAACACTTTATTAAATAAATTTATTTCATGAAATTAATTTTATATAATATCATTAATATTTAATTATTGAAAATTCGCAATAAACTGAAAAATATTTATTACAAATCGAATATAATAAAACATAAGAAATAAATACATAATTTTGAAATGTTATATATGATTCATTGTAATAATAAATGTTAAATTATTATTTAATATTATAATAAATTTTTCGATATTCTTAAATTTAATTTATTCTTTTTCCCGTATATAATAATAATATTATATTATTATTTAATATTATAATTTTTGATTGACAATAATAAATTCATTTTAATTAGTTAGACATTAAGATAATAAATTTAATATATATCACTAATACACGATATTTATTTATACATATAATTAACTAAGAGACACATATTTATCACTGTTGAATAAATAAATTTAAGATGATATGGTAAATATTTATTTTTACAATTATTTTTATAAACTTAAATAACTTACAAATATTTTTATAAACGAACAAAATTCAAATATTAATGTAATTGTTTTAAACATGAATAAGTTAAAATGTTTTTATAAATTGTCACACGGGTTAAAGACACTTATAAACGAGAAAAAGTCTACATATTAATATAATTAATTTTACAAACTAAAAATAAATTATAATAATTTTTATAAACATGAATAAATTATAAATATTTTTATAAACCGGAAAAATTCAAGTATTGATATAATTATATTTATAAAAGAGTATAAGTTTCATATATTTTTATAAATAGACACACGCGTTCATTTTTATAAACGAGAATAATTTAAAATTATTTTTATAAATGAGAAATTCAAATTTGATAAATGATTATATATTGTAATTATATTAATATTAACCAACTGAGTACATGAAATAAATTCATGGGTAGAATAAATGTATCTATGACATACCAGATAATTGAAGTTAAAGAATTGAATGTACTATTTTAAATGACAATTAAGTTATATTTTTAAATACAAATTAGAAAATAAATTAATCTAAAATAAATTTCATTCATTAAATAAATATAGAAAATAATATACAATAGTTTTATCTAGAAATTTTATTTATTTTTTATGTTCTTTTTAAAAATAATTGTAATTTAACGGGAAATTGTTATACATTATAGGTTGTAAAAAAATATGTAAATATGATATAATATAAAAGTTTTAAAACTGAAATTTGACGGGAGATGTCATACATTTTTAATTTGAAAAAATAGATTAATATATAAAATATGTTTAATAAATTTTTAAAATTAATTCATTTGGATTCAACTGAAGTTCGTTAACTCACGTAGATGTGAGCACATATAATATAAAAGTATAAATTTGACGGGATTGTCATATATTTTAGGTTTGGAAAAATGAGTTGATATCTAAAATAGATTTAATAAATTTTTAGAACTAATTCATTTGGATTCAACTGGGTTTGTTAAATTATCTTAATTCACGGGTAGATGAGAACGCATCTATGAGATACTGACTATAGATTGTTAATTTTAATATTCATCTTTTAAATCTTATATAATTGAAGTTAGTGAATAGTCGGTATCATTTATTATAAATACATATTAATGCTTAAAAAACAAGTGCATATTATTAGTCTATATTTATTAGTCATGTCTGTAAAGAACATAGATAACATCTTTTACATCCCTCGAATGTCTATGTCATATTTTGAGTCACCGTGACCATTTAAGTTGATTAGGAGAAAATTCCCAATTATTGTCTCTAACGCAATGACAATTAATAAATCCCAAGGCCAATCACTTGATACCATTGGATTGTATTTGCCTACTCCTGTTTTTAGTAATGGACAATTGTTAGTAATGGACAATTGTGTGTAGCCATTTCAAGAGTTACAAGCAAAAGTTGTCTTAAAATCTTAATACATGATAATGAGAATGTATCATCTTCTATCACTACAAATGTTGTATACAATAAAGTTTTTCAATTGCTTTGTTAATGGGTAAGTACACGACAACACAAATGTTTTTGTTTATAAATTATTTACATATTTGGTGTCTGATTTTTGCACAAATTATCATGCAGACTAATGAGTTGAAAACATCAATGGAAAGCAGGTTGCTTCATATCTAAAGTTCAAATACGATATTGTTATCATTAATGTTATCGATGGAAAGCAAATTAATTTGATACACTAATTTTTTTTTCTAATTGATTGAACTTTGGTTAAATCATTTTAATATTTTAAATTTGAATAATATATACGAATGATCTATTACAATTCAAAGTTAGTTCTATATTATATGAAATTCGGACATGACCCATATGATACCACGGATTTTTTAATAGTTGTATATCTAAAATCAAAACCATTGAACGAGCCCGCTCTCCTTAAAACAAAATTACAAAAACGCCTAAGGACATATGAAAACAAAACCACTGCTCTTATTCCATCTGAGTTGTGCACAGACCCGCCGCCATCTTACACGTACTCCAATCCTCCGCTTTGCGTGCAGATCCGCGGCGACGCCGCCACGCTCATTGCAATTGTTTGAGTTAAGAAGGTATTCGCAATGTATATCGTAGGTTCTCGATGGTACTGTACTAATTCCTTCTGCTTTACACACAGATCCGCAGCCACCTTATATGGACTCCAATCCTTCCGCTTTGCCTGCAGATCCGCGGCGACGCCGCCATGCTCACCGCATTTGTTTGAGTTAAGAAGGTATTCACAATGTATATCGTAAGTTCTCGATGGTACTGTACTAATTCATTCTGCTTTACGCACAGATCCGCAGCCATCTTACACGAACTCTAATCCTTGCGCTTTGCGTGCAGATCCGCGGCGACGCCGCCAGGCTCACCGCATTTGTTTGTGTTAAGAAGGTATTCACAATGTATATTGTAAGTTCTCGATGGTACTGTACTAATTCCTTCTGCTTTACGCACAGATCCGCAGCCACCTTATATGGACTCCAATCCTTCCGCTTTGTGTGCAGATCCGCCATGACGCCGCTAAAATCGCTGCTCTTGATTTGTCAAGCGTTGGATTGTATTTGCCTACTCCTGTGTTTAGTCATGGTCAATTATATGTTGCAATTTCAAGAGTTAAGAGCAAAAGTGGGCTAAAAATCCTAATTCATGACAAGGAGAATGTACCATGTTCTACTACTATTAATGTTGTGTACAAGAAAGTCTTTCAAGCACTTTGATAGTTGGTAAACTTTATATCTTATACTTTACGATTCAAATTAAAAATCTATTTTGAATTAAAATATATAGTATGTACATTTTCCATGTATTTCAAGAAGTATATAATTTTTTCTATTTGTTCATGCAGACGTGATTTGTTGATAGGACCGACGCTTGCTACAAATATGGAGTTAAATGTCAACATGGTTTACATGAGACATATACTCAACTGAAAACATGGTAACATACTTAATAATTTAATAATCTATAAATGTAATGTGAATCCAGACGAGACCCGTGCGATAGCACGGGTTTGTTACTAGTTATTACTTAAATATTATGTATTTGATATTTAATATTGCTGAGGTGTCAATCCTATATTTATCCGGACTAAATTTTCTTTTATTTTATTTTAATTTTAATCTCTATTTAAATGTTACGTGTCTCTTAGAATTCATGGATACTTTAGAAAATCTATTCAAAAGCAAAATCAATGACTTGGACAATGGAAAATCTCAAAAAATTTCATGTTAGTCATCAATTAGTATCGAAATGCATTGTAAATCTGAGCATATAACTTGTTGTCGTTCCAATGCTTCCAATACTCTCTATGAATTCGTTTTTACATCGTCTTCCATCTTCCTCCCATGGGTTAAGATCAACTCCTCCGTCAAATATTTTATCACCGCGGCTCTGATCTATATATTGTCACCACTTAAAAGCTTTTTGAGTTTCTTCCTTCTTCGGGTTCCCATCACAAATCTTTTCACATAATTTAGATATGTTGTTCCTTCTCTTAGATTTTATTATGATTATCAATTTTGCATTTTAATGTTATTGTTAATGTTGTTAAATTTTACCGATCCATGCTTTAAATAACTTTTTTTTTTTTTTTGAAATATTGTTAAATCTGACATAAAGGTGAATGAAATGGGTTTATGCATTGTGCATGGGTGGATTTCTGGAAAAAACGAAGGTGCAGTCATAAACTTTTTCTCTCCTCTACTTTTGTTATGTGTTTATGATTTTTTTGAATTTTGATTATTGGATTTCTACCAATTTGGTAGGATCTTCATCTTCTAATTGCTACAAACTGAAATAAATGTTAAAGTTTCAATTTTTATGAATTGATTTAACTTTTGAATCAATTTAAAATAATGGGTTAATTTTAATTTCAAATGACCATGATGATAAGTGGAACTTACCTTGCTTGGTAATGTATTTGTTAGGCTCTCTGCAATGCTTACTGTGGTCAAAATTATGGGTCCCACATTTTTTACAAACTGATTGGGAAACCATTTCTAACATGGAGTTCAAAAGTTGGCTATACCCTTCTCTGAAGGTCACAACCTCGTGGAAAGACTATCATGTTTCGCCTCAACTTTTGCAACAACAAGGTCGGTTGTTACTGCCCTGAGCACTTATGATGAATGAACTCTTGGAAACAATGATTAGGTATCTGTATGGTTAGTTAATAACAATATTGCTGCTAATTTTTGACAACTTTGCGGAAAGCAGCAGATCTGTTAGAAGCCATTGACTTATTGATCTTCCAATTGAGGCTTAATATGTACATTTGTTATATCTGAACTGAACACTAATTCGTTTTTGAACTTTTTTTAATTTTGTTTCAAATAGCATCTTATGATTGAGGTGTTGAATATTTCATGAGTGTGTTTCACTTTTTTTCTAAGAGATACATGTTAACTTTGATCAGAAAATATACCTTTCATTAAAAGGTATGAACATTATTAGTTATTATGTAATATAAATGTGGTTTCTATATAATATAATTGTTAGTTTTGTCCGAGAAGTGAAAAGAAGTTGTTTAAAAGATTTATAATCCATCTATAACTACAAGTGCAATTACATGTACGGCTCAAGTGCAATTACATGTCTGGTTCAAGTCTGCTATGCTGTTAGTGGCTTGCTGTTTCTTTTTTTCCTTTCACCCCATTTTTTTCTACCTTTCTACTTTGTACTCAAAAACAAAGTTTATGCTTTGGATTTATGTTTTGGAATTAATACGTAATTCTTTAGCATCTCCGGTGTTATTTTATATAATTTATCTTAATTTTGTCATGATAATATAATAAAATATACAAGACATAAATACATTTAAAGTAAGATCTATTATTTTATATAATTTATCTTAATTTTGTCATGATAATATAATAAAATTTACAAGACATAAATACATTTAAAGTAGGATCTATTATTTCACCTTCAAACATATTTAATAAAGAAGTAATACAATTATTTCAATAAAGTTTTTAATAACAATTTCATCAAATAAATTGGTAACAATCAATTTTCTTTTTAAATATTATAAAAATATATATTTTCCTTAATCATTTAACCTGTATTCATTCAACATCTTTATATATTAGAATTGAAAATTAGAATTGAAATTTTGATTTAAATAATTATGGGAAAACAAAAAATAATTCATTAATTTATTCAACATAAACTTTAACAATATTAATTAGACTTTGCCATTGATTCTACATATAATTTTTGTCTTTGAATTGATCAATCATTTTTTAAAACAAAATAAAACCTTTTCAAAGTGACTTGTGAATTTATTATATAATTGATTTAAGTTTAAATTTGATTTAAATTCAAATTCAAATTATTCTAATATTTATTAATTGAGTCACCATTTAATTGAACCACTCTAAATTAAACCGCAACACAAAAAATTCAAAAATAAAAAATTATTTTCAATGCACCACATTTATGGTACACAACTCACAATTCATAGATTACATTTATGGTACACAACTTAACCATACAACAATTAATAAAATGTTAAATTAAATCAATTAAAATAAAGAAGAAAAAATTATATGCTATTAAAAAGAAAAACTAAATAATCAATAAAAAATAATATGTCTCTCTCTTTTCTTTCTTTATCGTCTTTCAATATTCTTAGATCTAATTTTTTTTTTCCTATTAATATCTACAATAATAAATATTTAATTATTTCTTTCCCTACTGATATCTACAATAATAAATATTATAATATTAATTAATATTATAATTTTTATTATCAATTATAAACTTATATTAAAGCAAAAATAAACGTATTACTAAAATTATTATTCTCTAATATTAATAATAATTTCTCAATAGACACATGCATATATTCTCATTAATGAAGATAGATAAATTTATTAGTAAATTAAAATAATAAGTAAATAGATAAAGTGTTTTCTCATATCAAACAATGACAAAAATACAAAATAAAAAAATCAAATTGATTTTATAATTTAGAATTAAAAAAATGTTTTATAATAAATTTAAAAAAATAGTTGAAAAATTCAAATACTATATTATAAAAAAACATATTACGGTAAAAATAAAAATAAAAATAAAAATAAATTAAAAAGCACTAAGACTTTAAATTGATTCTAAATAACTAAATAAAAATTAATAGACACATTTAAATTTGAAATATTTATCAAAATGAAAGTATTTTGTTCTAATTAGCTGAAACATTGTTGGATGGTGAAATATATGGTGGCAAATCAACATGATATTCTTACTAGTTATAGATAAAAAATTGAACCACCTCATTTTGTACAGTTTGTGCAAGGCCATGACTGATTTTCATAACAAATTCGTTCTGCAAATGAAAACTTGATGAGTGAATAACATACAATCTACGTTTCTCTGATTTGCATGTCGTCTTGCTTTGTGTTGCAAATATTTAAGATAAAAGTAAAAATTTGAAATTTTCTTGGAAATTTTAATGTGCCCGGTTTGCCTTCCAAATATCGATTTTTTAATTATTAGCTTGACACATGCTCAAAATGCATGCTCGATCAAAAAGAGTGCTTTACTATTTTTGTTTCCATAACGTTTCTTTTCAGGATGTAACCTGACCTTCAATGGTCCAGCCCATCCCAACGCAGTATAAATAACCATGGAATGGAACAAGATTGATTAAATTGTTGGGTGTTTGATTTTAAGTGAGAAATTAAGATTTTGAAAAATGAATGGGTGAGTAAATAAAATATTAACTCGTGGGTATTTTTGAAGTTGAATATGATCTCGTGTATGGATGAATGGAATTTGAATTGTGTCTTCAACTTTTTTGGGTTTCCGTAAGGATGATGAAGGTTTAAAGAAGTTGATGAACATGATGAATGAATTTGCTTTAATAAAGTTTTTTTTAAAAAAATTCAATTAATTAATTAATTTATAAATATTTTCTCAAAAAATTTTAAACATACTAGTAAGAAATTCGTGCGGGTTCTGTCTAGATTGACATTACACGTCTACTAAATCATCTTTTATAAAGTTTGGATTCATATTCTTGAATTGATTAACATTGACATAGTTATAAATATAAGTTAATAATATGAACCAATTTTTAAACATTAATTTGTACTGACAATAAATCGTATAGATTCTCTAACTTCAATTATATAAAATAATATCAATTTTTTTATAAAAATATAGACATTAAAATAAACAGTCACATATGTATCTTATAGATACGTTCACATCTTAGATTTATGCATGCAAAGATTTTCATTATAATGAACAATCTAGAGTGGTTAAATTGATAAATAAAAAGATAGACAATAAAATAAATAATATACAACTGATATCTCATAGATACGTTCACATGTACATGTGAATTTATACCTGTAGATACTCCACAACTAATTAGCTTGTTTAACTAATGAGCTTGTTCCTATAAAACACTTGATTTTGCTAGGATTTTTTCAGGATGAATTCATTCTATTTGAAGATATATTTTTAATAATATTTGTAATTTATTCACATTTATAAAAATAATTTTAAC